CGTACGGCCAATATTAGATCCTTTTAGCATTTGCATTGCCTTTATACCATTGTCAGAGTTGTTAACTAAGACATATACTAAGCCGCTATCATTTATCTCGCTATTGCTACCGATGTAGAAATCCTATATTTTTATTATTATGAAATAAATTATCGTTACCAACATTTTTAAATACATACCATAAATTTTATGATTCCTTGTAGCGCTCCAATTTTTTTCTACTCCATTAAGAATTGATTGACTTTCTTGTTTCTTTCTTCGCGTTCCATATTTTCCTGAATCTAAAGTGAAAATCAATTTCAGTCATAATAATACCATATAGGTTTATATGTTCCTCTTACTTCTTTTTCCATACATGTCAAATTTGCATCAGTCTGAAGTGAAAATTAAGCTCAGTTATTATAACCCATTATAATAACTATATTCCACTTACTTCAGTTCTTCTTCTTTCGTTAAAATCTCCGCATTGATTGTAGATAATACTCTTTGCTTCTCTAAAATTATTCTGTTCAATTTCACCTTTTTTGGATTCTGTAGTTTTCGTAGTATTAATTTTTTCGTGAAATAACTGCTTCTTTTTCTTTAAATTAATGGACTCAGCCATAACCCTTTTCTTCAGTTCTTTTCGGTTCGCCATAGCTGATTTGATTAATGGCAAATGTAATTAATTAGTAATATATAATTCTATAAAGTGCTTTAATTTTGTAATTTAATTTCCTTAAAATATTTTTTTTAGTGGTGACCTAGTTGTAGTGGTGTTGAGTTTGGTGATTCAAAAATGCATTTAACTGGTTAACAAGCAATAAAAGTAATATGCATATAGGTATACAAGCCATGCAAAAAGTTGAGCCCATGAAGCAGATGCTTAAATACGAAAATATTTTTTTTTGAATTCTATGAACAAGTTTTTAAAAGACAGCCCTTAGAATGATCAGATATTTTACAATGCTTGGGAGACAAACAACAAGACATTTAGAAATTTTTATTCAAGAATAACATTTTGAATATCCTTTATATAGAGACTTATCACACTAGAGTAAAAGTGTAATTTTGTCGTTTTTATATAAAATTGAACTATTTTCCTTTTATGTTTAATGCTTTTTTTTATGTATTAAAATAAAACTGAAACGAAGCTGGTTGGACATCTTCTATCTTCTGTGTTCTATAATTTACTTTTGTACTTCTCCTCTTCAAAGGACACGATTAATTAAGTCTAGCTATAGATCTTGCAAAAGTCACAAGGATAAAAAAAAGAAAGTTTGAAGCAGATATCGGAGCGATGATAGCTTAGTCTTAACTTACTGACTTAAATATAATGTTTACTGACTTTAAGCTGAAATAAGATACAATATATCACTTATTATAATTATTTATAGATACATAATACTTTCAATCCTAATACAATTGGAAGAAAAGAGCGACAAATTAGAAATACATGATTTCCTTTTTTTCATATTAAAAACTACAACAAAACTCTAAAGAAATATGTAAAAATAAAAACTTGAATATAGAAAATCAGACGGAATTCTTAATAATAACGAACATATGTAGAAGCAAAAATGGAATATTAGTCTCTACATGAACTTAATAAGCAGATATTATGACATGAAAAATTCTCAGTTCATTAGTGTTATCCAATTTTATCTATATATAGAAAATAGGAGAGAAAAATCGGACACTGCCACTGTTATCTAAAACACAATGAGAGAAAGAAATTTTTTTTAGAAAAAAGCTAAATTTGATTGAGCTTTCATTGGGACATTCGGGACTAGACACTGGATCGAAACATTTTTTTTATCATTGTTATTGTAGATATTGCATACTAATTTATCAAGAAGAAAACACGATTTTAAATACTCGATCATGTCCACCACATTTTTTTTTATTACTAAACTTTAAGTCAATATATTTAGTATTCGACATATCTGGCTTTAGAGTTCGAAATTTTTATATTAAAACCACCAATCAAAAATACATTTGATATCTGAGACATTTAGATCGTTTGTATAATAAATGAAAAAATAACACAAACCATGTTAGACTTATTCATGTTAGATGGCATGTGTAGTTTTTGTAGGTGTGATTAATTTAAAAAATTTAATTTAAAAAACTTTAAACTTTTAGATCTCGAGAAGTGATGGAAACAGTTTCTCAAAATAGAAAATCGAAACCGCACCTAAAAGAACAAGCTTCAGTTATGATAATGCTTCATTGTATAGACGAAATATATGGGTAAAAAGCTATTACATTACCTGTGTGTGTGCGATATTCTTCAGATTCAACTTAAATCGATTTAACGCCAAAGATATGATTTGACCGTTAAGAGATTTATCTATAAAAACAGTAATTAATTTTTATGTTGAAAACCTTTAAAATCCTAATTATAGAAATGAAACTTAATAATCCAATGTCGCTTAGTGGAATACTGCGGCTATGGTAAATATTAGACCTTCGAATGATGCCTAGTATGTCACCCACGGTAAGAGAAGATTTGAAAAACAACTGTTTTATTTTTAAAAACTATCTTTAATTAAAAACAGCTGAATTTTTATTAAACTTACTTATTAAACTTTTAAAGGTGTTTAAAACTTTTTATAAGAAATTTGCTACTTTCAATAAAACTATTACTCAAACTAATTATGTACAAGTGCAGTGAAAATTAATAGTCATATTTTTATAAACTGAAATCTCGAACTCATATATATAATAACAAGGATTATTTTCATGAAATTCAGCCAAAAGAATGGGTGACATCGTTTAATCGAAACCAGTTATCACTTATCTTCATAGAACACGACACAAAGAAATGAATAAGGATTCTACATACATTCCGATCTCTAAGCAATCTTGGCCACTATAATATATTATGTTGAAGGTGTTTTGAGCTAGTGCACTTAAGCACTTATACTCTTTTTTAACTCGACGTTTCTTCAAAACCCCTCTCTACACCTCGACTAGATTGTTGTTTATCACTTCATCAGACTAAGCAATAATTGACCTCAGATCTGCATACCTCCCCGAGGAGCCTGTAGCCATTCTAAGATTTGATAACGCGGTGTTGGTAAGTCTGTCAGATTTCGCAAGTAATTTCAGGGCTCTATCTATTCTATCTTCTAGTTCGTTCAGGCTTTGAAGTTTTATGGGTCGATTTATTGTTAGGGATTTTTATATAAGATTTGCAACAAACTGAATTGATTGAAATGTTGGAATTTGACAAAATCCGTTGTCAAAAAGTATTAACTTACGAAATTGTTCATAAACTATAATAATAACAATTAAATGACTAAATTTGCAATAAATATCATAAAACTGATAACATGCCTGAGACAGTTGGCAAAAGTTTTTCTACTTAGTATGCTAGCTGCAATACGAAACATTCAATAGACTATGTGTTACACATAACTTCACCGGAAAGTCCAGAAATTGAATAATGTATATTAATAAAATATCTTGATAATTAAAAATTCTGGTAATTTTTTAAGAAAACATTATGCAATAGCAAATTTTATTAATAAACGCAATAATCGGTGCATATAGAATCAATATACTTTCTTCTTTTAAATAGTCTAGTATTAAATGTAAAAAATGGTGCTTCATAGTTTTGAGATTCTTCAATACACACCTAATAAAACTATATATATATGTATATATATAAATATAAATATATATATATATTTATTTAAATATATAAATATATAAATAATTATATAAAAATATATAAACGTAACTTTGAACGAAAGTATGTATTTTTTATCACAATGATATTGGTAGTCATTCGATATATAAAGGTGGATCCACACCAAGCGAACGCTTGCGAACGAACAAAAATTCGCCGGTTATCGTGCCTGCAAAAGTTCATTCGTTCGCAAGCGTTCGCTTTGGTGTGAATGCACCTTAATATGCCTAGTGAGAATACGTACTATGTACTATATGCTTAGCGTAGGTAACTAATTGAATATATATTATTTCAAATACTTACTGTGCTGGATCGTGAAGTATAAAATTAAATAAAAAACTTTTCTTTTTCGCTAAACGTTGAAGTGCGGACTCTGTACCTTTTACGAATCAACAAACGAAAAGTAACATACAACGACATTGGTTACTATTTTATGTTTTATCGATTAATCGATAAACACAATTGATGTGTTTATTTACCGTTATTTGATACTGTGTTCGACAATATTTGAAAATAACGCATCGAAAGTCACACTCAGAAACAGATGGCAAATGCAGAACAATTCATAGCAGCCAGCTTGAGAAGCCAGCTAAACGCACGTATGAGCTTTGGAATGTAGAACAATTAAGACAAACCAAAGCTGCGTATAACACAATGATCTTAAGTGTTCGAAACATATATATACATATGATATAGAAATTGTTGCTATATTTTCTATTCATATTGTTAGGAAGCTTATGTGATTTATATGGCGACGATTATAGCGCAGAATAGCGCAGATCCTGCCAATCTGTCCTTCTCCTCGACTTCAGCTTCCGTTATAAATATATAAATATGCATATTTGTTTGCTTTAATTTATTAAAATAAATATTTGTAAGGAGGAAGTGAACTACAGCAACAAAAATTCTTTTTTTATATTATTTAAATTAATTGAATTTTTAACTGACCATACAGCTGTTTCGAGTATTGCGAAATACTCGAATAAAATCAGTGGTCTTGGAAATAATTCTTGTGTTTGATTATTCGTAAATAATTTTTTGAGACTCAAGTACCAAGAATCGAACTTGTGCCCTGCCAAATTTAAAGCTCAAAGTCAGCACTTCTTAACCAACTGACCCAAAGCCGTACTTGACTTTTTATGCTCGCACATTTTTGTAGTGTCATTCTTCTCTTATCGCTAGGTCATTTCCTGCTTCTGCATCTACGTAATTTTCTGGTTAATACCACTGATTAGTATCATGGAGAATTGTAAAGTTATACAACACCAAGTATGAAAACACAATCTTTTCGAGTATTTTAAACTAAACTCGATCGTTATTTTCATTATTCATTAAAACTATTTTCTGGTATACGACAAGCCTGAGTTTCCTGAAATTTACATATTATATTATATTATTCAAAAGATGTATGAAACACCTCCATCAGTCTTACTGCCATATGCTCTCAACCTTACAATAAATGTATATTGGTATCACACGTTTGCTATCAAAAAATTTGAAACCTCGAATTTGAAGGGCATTTATTAGCTAATTGTTTGCCATCGACTTATTCTGGAAATGGTGACAGTTCAAATGTTCACGACGAATTGAAAGCTGATGTTATTCTAGGATTACAAGATGAAAACGTGCACTGTTCTTACCATTCCTCAATTTAGCTGCAACAAATTCTGGGAAGATGCAGCACACTATTAAGATGCAGCTTTTCTTGTACACCACAGCAGTCCTCTTAGTTGCGTTGGCAACACAAACTTTAATGTTTAATTTAAGAATAATTTTAGGTAAACAACATATTTTATTCTAAGACAATCTAAGACAATTAGAATAAATCTGTCCAGAGACAATCTGTTGATATATAGATTGATTGATTCTTCATATGCCGTCTATTATTCGGCATATGAATTGATTGAGTTGCATTTTTTTATTCATTTATTTGCAGTTGTCTGAATGTAACTTGACGTAAAAGTGATTTCTTTTGGCATTATTACAAATAATAATTGACTATTGTGGATCATCGAACCATCAGTGAGTTTTAGCAGCCTCTACCAATTAACAGTTTCTCCGATACAGAGCAATATTTCTAATCTGAAGCATATATCGAATTATAACAATTTAAATTTCGTCTACAGTTGGAGCATTAAGTTTTTGCACATGTTCTCCAGCAGATATTTTGTCAGCATGAATAACAATCTTGTATGTATCAGATGGTATCTGTCAATTGCTATTTTGAAATAAACACACAAAAATGCTGAATAATGAATTTTCATGAATTTTTTATGATCAAATATCGATCAAATATCGATATTAGGTAGCCGGCATTATGATCAATTTCAACTTTGAAAGTTAGCATAACTCGAGCTTTTATGATTTCAGCGCTAAATGACTTCATTTGGAAGCGTGAGTCCCAATTAAGATAGATTTAAGATAGAAACTTAATTGAATCAAGAGTATGTACATCCCACAAGCAATCTTTATAATAGATCTGGCGATTCTCCACCCTAAGGAAGCTTCTTTTCTCTGGCGGTGCAACACAGTCATTTCGTTTTTCCATGAGTGCACTTTTCCAGTGCCAATGAAAATGACATTGGTTGAAACTAGAATAATTGGTGAATTGTAACGGAATTTAAAGCGATTGTAATCGTTCTGTTCCTTAGCGCAAAGTCTTGCCTAACGCCAATCTACTGTTTGTCATAGACGTCTTTCTATCACTTTAGGTTGTACAGATAAAAAAATAAACAAAATTATTGAAAATTTTAAATGGAAAACAAGGAAAATGAATTTTGTTAAGTCAGAACAAATTCAATGTCCAATTAAAAATTAAGAATGCTGACGTGCGCAAGTATCTTAATATTATTTCAGTTTCTGAAGTCATACGTGAATATACCTATACCCAAATATAGACCACCTGAGTCATCAGATAAGCATTGCTCCTGTAGTCTCTCAGCTTTGTTTATAATATTTATTATGATCTTTTACTATTATCGCAAGTATTCAAGTCACTGAGTTTCAACTGGGACACTGACATAAAACACAAATGTACTTTTTCTGATCCATTTCTTTATAGGAAATAGTATAGGGATATGGTGTTATTTTATCATTTTTGAGTTTTCATTACTGGTATGACCAAAATATTGCTTCTGCTCTTACAAGAACTCTGCAAATACTTAGTAACATGCATAGTCAAAAGTGGAACCATAAATTCCTGCTCAACTAAAGCAAAATTTTTTCACTGTTATCTAATTGGAGTCCATATCTCTTTAAAAATAAAGCAGCATTTAAAGCTTTATGTATATATATATATATGTATATATGTATGTGTGTGTACATCTGCAAGCACAGAGCTTGTGGAGCTATTAGAATAGCAATTTTTTAATCGTCACTTCTGCTTATTAAGCCGGGATTGCTATCTTCGCTTATTAAATGGATAGAAAAATCAACATATAACGCACATAAGTTCGGAAAACAGATATAACTCCTATAGCTTTAATTCTTCTTCAGTTTGATAAAAAATAAATAATAGTTGGATGTAAGCTTTCGCCACCTCCTGTGCTAAATAAAAATATCTTCTAAAATGAACAACTTTTTCTTATTCAAAAATTTGAAATGCTTTCACCGAGGTTTATGCCAAAAAGCCCGCCAATATTTTGCACGCAGTCTGCGATTTAAGATAAAAGTTCAAAAAGCAAAAAGCAGAAAGCAGAAAGGACACCTGCCATTTTTTCATTTTGTACCTTTTTAAACACTTATTTTAGCTCATAAATTTTTAATCTAAAAGGTCCTTTTATAGCACAAAGTGACTTTATTTGCGAAATAATTTCTGGTTATTGTTGTAATTTAAAGTGACAAAAAAGTGAAAAAGGACATTTTCTCATTTTTAACAGTTATTTTAATAAAATGTTGACACGCATATCTGCAATAATGGCACATTAAAAACACCGCAACGGCAATAATAATAACAAAGCATTTTATTGCCATTATCGGCTACAGTATTTGGCACTGGCTCCGTCTCTGGCCATTTTCCCTCTTGCATAGTAGACGGAAATTTGCGTTCCTGTTATTTTTATATTTCATTTGTTGTGTGTAATTGAGAGCTACAGATAATCCTTTTTCCTTATTTGAATGACTGAATGACTGAAAGACTGAATGACTGAATGACTGACGAAACACAAAAATTGTGTAATGCACAAATTACTGATGGAAGAGAAGCTTGAACGGAGTACTTTTCTCACTAGCCCTGTAACTTCATGCATGCATGTGTGTATATATACAGGCCCGTAACCAGAAATATACTTCTAAAGGCGTTTTCAAATAATTTCATTAATTTAAAAAATAATTTTTACCTTTTCAAGCAATCACGATGCATTAATAATAAATATAAATATAGAGCTTGGATTCATATAGACAGCGGCTTCACTGCCTCCAGTATACTATACATAGTATTGGTATATTTTTGGCTGGCAAACAATTTCAATTGAAAATTAAAATAAAATTAATTAAAAGGACAGAATGCATGTAATAAATTTATATGAACTCATAATTTATTAAACTTATATTGTTAATGTAGTTAGCTGACATTTTTAAGTTCGTGAGAAAACGAAGTATAGCAGGGTCTATTGTGTACAGGTGTCTACTGAAAGATAATAGACACTTGTCTACTGAGTCGATTGATAACGAATAAAATCATATTTCTAAGCTTAAAAGATCTTCTCTAATTGATAGTTAACCCATTTACTAGGAATCCTGACAAAAATGTGCTCCGTTGTGAATAATGTATATCCCTACTTTTCAAGTAAAACTCAAGTAAAGTTAAAAATAAAAATAAATTGATATTCTTGAGAAAAGCAATTTAAAGAAAAATTAATTAAATCACGTAAAAATCTAGTAAATTATATATTTTAATTACTGCGACTTATATTATATTATATTATTGTATATGAATATTTTGTTGTTATTAATTTTGTATGAATAATTTGTTATTTTAATTAATATTTAAATATTAATTTTTAATTAAATATTAATATTTAATTAATATATTAATATTTAATTAATATATTTATTTAATAATGATAATTAAATTAATATTATAAACTATATAAAGACGTTATATAAAAGCATTATTGATTAAATAAAAAAAAATTAACTAAAAATTAAAATAAAAAATGAATTACAAATAATTGATATATAATCCATGTAAATGATATGTACCTAGTCTATATTAGAATGATATATATCCAAAATTGGTGTAAAAAAACAGGCAAGGTCTATAATAAAAGTAAAAGAAGAAAAGGAAATAAGTAAAATGGAAAAATAAAAGTGATAAAAAAACTGTTCCAAAATGAGTAATAAATAATATTAAAGAGAAAAACAAATTTATTGCATTTGCCTTTTTTTATATAATTTAATTAAATACAATAAATTAAATAAAATCTCTATTTAGCATGAAAATTCAACAGTTATTATGACTTAAAAAAAAATATGAAGTGTTTTACCAATTAAAAAATTTATTTGTAATTCCATCTAATATAAACAAAAAACAGGCGATATCTCTAGACGGGTTACACCAATTTTTACAAAATATTGACTTAAAGGTGACTAAAGCATCAATACACCATCAATGCCATTGTGATTCTTTTGGCATCAATGCCACTATAAACTTCTGGGTAGAAACAGATGTAACATAAAATTGAATTTAAATTTAAATTTTGGAAAATTGAATGAGTAGATGTAATGAGAATAATTTACCATACAAAGGGCTTTCAATTAAATGAGCTCATTATAAATAAACCAACTGATTAAGACCAACTGATTAAGTCTAATGCAACCCCTAAAAGTAAATTTCCCACATTGTTTATATTTAAAATGTAAACAAATAACAGCTAAGGTGTGAATAAAGGCACTGAGAAAGTAAGTATTTAATGAAATCTTTGGTTTATTAATTGAATATATAGTACATTTGTAAGATATATACATATATATATATATGAATGGCTTAATATATTAATTATATATATATTTAATTTTGTGCTTTTCGTCTCTAGATCACTACATTTTTCTAACTGCCTCTTTATTAATGAGTTTTCAAAAATGAAAAAGTCATTAACTCTTTCCGTAAACCTAATATTTATGTAAAGAAAACGGTATCTGGAAATAAGTAACAAAATATATTTGTGCATTTATTAAATATTTATTGTTTATTTACGCATGAATTACTCACCTATAATCTACGAGACCAAAGAGAATAATCAAGTACCACTCTTTATAGTTATAGTACTCAATAGCATTCTGAGATTCTGGTTTTATTTGGATGTGATTTTCATCTTAAATACTCTTTACAATTAATATGTTTTATATACAATAATTAGATTCAATAAT